AAGTAACAAAACTCTTAGAAACCTCGATGATGAATCACTCTCCAAATTAAGAGAATACATGAATGAGTTCTGGATAAAAGGAGAAGTACCAGCTGAGTGGAAGAAAGCGACGATAACGCTCATTCCAAAGCCTGGTAGGAAGCTTGTCATCGACAACCTCAGACTGATTTTTCTAACATCCGGCATCGGAAAATTACTAGAACATGTAATTTTAAACAGAGTCGACAACTTATTAGAAGACAATAACATCTACCTAGATACAATGCTTCAACTCAAGAATCATATAATCAACTATAAAACGCACTCTACAAGGGCCATCTTGGGAATACTAACCATACAGCCATATTGAAAAACATTGAAGGGGTAGAACTAGGGAAGCAGATGTATAACTACGTTAAGAGCTTCCTGTCAGACAGAATGGCAGTCATCTCCTTCGGAGGACTCAAATCGCCTGAGATCGACATCGGCAGTGCAGGCACGCCACAAGGCTCTGTCCTATCTCCGATACTCTTCAATCTCACCTTAATAGGGCTTCCCGGAAAACTAAATGAAATTTAATGTCTACACCATTCAATCTACGGGAATGATATTACTACCTGGGTCTGTGATGGGAGCGACGGCTCTATAGAAAAACGACTGCAGACTGCAATAAACATGGTAGAGGAACACCTGACTGGAACAGGTCTCACGTGCTCTGCACACAAGTTGGAGCTTCTGCACCGTTCCACGCTTAGGGGTAGGCCTGCCACTGGATATGAGGAAAGCGAGGCTTATGAAGAAATTAAGATGCACACAGAGAACGGTCGAAATATCCCTATAGTCAACCAACTCAAAGTACTGGGCCTTGTAATCGAGTACAAAGGTACAAACAAGGGAATCATCAAAAGCTTAGAAGTGAGGGTAACAAACACCATAAAATTAATAAAACAAATTACTAGCAAGCACCAGGGTATGAAGGAAGAATGTATCATATGGCTGATACAATCTTTTGTAATCAGTCAGATCACATACATAGCAGCCTTCTATAATTAATTTGCAGCTGAAAAGACCAAAATTAACAATCTCATAAAAAGGTGCACAAACTAGCGCTAGGGATTCCCATAAGTACGCGCACAGACTTTCTTCTAAAGCCAGACCTCCACAACACACTGGAGGAACTCATAGAAGCACAACAAATGTTTGAGGTGGAACGACTAACAAAAACCTCTACTGGACCGAATATACTACGCAAGCTAGAAATGAATTACCACAACCAAAACGGGGTAAACAGGACGATCACAAGAGAAATTCGTGAGACACTTGTGGTACCTAATATACCCAAGAACATGCATCCATGTTACAACAAAGGTAGACGCACGAGTAGAGCAGAAAAAATGATCCAGAGCTACGGGTCAGATGAGAGAGCCACCTTTGAAGACGCAGCCGACTACCCAAACAGAAATAGCTACGTGGCAGTAGTCGTAGATCACAACCAAAAGCTCGTTACCAGCACATCAGGTAATATTCGAGACAGCAAAGAAAGTAACCATTGCACTAGCACTGGTCTCCACGAACGCTCAATACATTATTAGTGATTCACAGGCGGCCATTCGAAATTATGCTAAGGGCCGAATTTCCCCAGAGGGGTGGCACATCATGAGTGCAAATGAAGCAGTTCTTTCCGCTGTAGAAAATAATGCTAGACGACTGCTCTGGTTCCCAAGGGCATACAGCTCCAGAAGTTCCCGCAGTCAATCCCAATGAGGTAGCACACTGCGAGGCTCGAGGTGTTACTCGCCGAGCTGAGCAAAGAGTGACTTTTACGGGTCAGGTGAACGTGGAGGAGGGGGTATAAAGAGAAAAAGATCGATTAACCACATTCAGTGATATAACCAAATACTACCAAATGCAGAGGCGAATTTATGCACCACCTCACTCTAAATTCAAGAGAGCAGAGTTCGTTGCTTGGAGGCAGTTACGGACAGAAAGCTACCACAATCCCGTGCAATTAAAGACTTTCTACCCTGTCATATATGAGAGCAACACATGCCAGCTATGCAAGTCTTTTAGAGCCACCCTTCAACACATGTTGTGGGGGTGTCGAGTATACCAAGATCGAATGGCAGTCTTCTCGGAAGATTTGTGGGCACGGTGGTCTGCCGCTCTGCAAAGCTCAGAACTCAGGGACCAATATGGGCCATCCAGCAAGCCCTTGAGGCAGCGCGGGAGCAACAGCACCAAGTGGCCATCTAGGCGGCCCCAGGCCCGGGCCTTCCAATCGCCGGATATTCAATAAAGTTATTTCATCATCATCAGGACCAGTTGCATTTTTACTTAAATAATATCTGTGGTTCTTAGGTCCCTAAACAACGATATGATTATGACGAAAGCCGCAGTGAAGCGCTCCGGAAATTTCGACCATCGGGAGTTCTTTAATGTGCGCTGACATCCCACACTACACGGGCCTCCAGCATTCGTTGATTTTCCATCGAAATGCGACCGTCCCAGTTGGGACCGAATCCGCGGTTCCGCTATTATAAAAATGAAGCTGCTTCATGACGGGCGCGCCAAGAGAGTCGGCGGAAAACTGAATGCTGATAGTCCATTGATATTCAAGCTGGCATTGTTTCTGATATTCACTATAAAATATTAGACGGAGCTGGCGCAAGCTTACGGCAATTATGGATGGTTTCATCGATAATTTTCTTCAAGGGTATCACTTACACGAACGAGTGCTCCTTCGCGAAGAATCCTCCCTGTGGATATTTCACGACGTCAACCACAATGCTCTGTGAACGTTGGCCGAAAGGAATGCAGCTCTGCGTCGGCACAAAGCAGTAAAAGCCGGGACTGCAGCAAAATGTGCCGTCGCTGCAGCACGACCTGTTTGCGTATGGACAGCAGAATCAGTTCAGTTTGTCGTAGCACAAGCAGCACTTGGCGCTATTCAGTCAAGTGGTCCTTTCTCCTGGACACACCAGATGAATACGAAGACCGGGACGGCTCACCGGCTGCTTTTCAATTCATGCATGCATGGAAATGTTGAACAAATGCTGCAGTGCATACAACAACTAGAGTCGCATTAATCAATTCAGAAGCCGATTTGACGTGATCCAAGCTGACCCTCTCACGTGTCTGGTTCAAAGTTCGTACAAACAGGGTTAGGAGCCTTCGACAGGTTGTCCAATGTATGCATAGGTGAACCTGTCATGGATATATATAATGAACCTTGAAGCGATCAAGGATCGTTGTACATGGGGTGTCGTTAGACCCAACTTTTCAACAAGTTGTGTTGTCTTCATGAATATAGCAGTTGCCTACCTTAGAGCCCGTATGTGCATGTTTTGTATCCTCTCTTCCAACGAAAACATAAGAGGAAGAGAGAGCAAAAGCAATAAAAAGGGGAGGAGAGAGCTAACGTGCTGAAATGGGTGAACAAAGGAAAAGTGGAAATATATTCGTGAGAAATCATAAGCCATCTCCCTGAAGGTAACCCTGATGGGTTGCGAAGCAGCAGCGGTGCGTACAGCGTTGAACCAGTTGAAACAGGTGTTGACGTGGGTGCTGGAAGACCCGTTTGAAGTCAATTTTTGCAACCAAGATTTCCAGCCAAACAGAAATATTGGGCCCTGAAATCGGTAGAGACGACCTTCAGTGTAAGCAAAAACTACGGGAAAATAATGAATTGAATGCATTTCTTCACAAACTGCCGTGTCAGCGGTGTTAAAGTCGATGTTATTTTCTCTATGGCACATCATTAGCTTCACTAGCTTCGGCTTCCAATTGATTCAGCTTTATTGCATTGGTAACATCAAATTTAAAAAAGCCATATGCCCTTTTTGTGACATCAGCCACTAGTTTCCGCAGACATCACTGCCAACTGCCTCGCTTTGCCCAGAAGATTTGAATTTCACGAAATTCCCCTCGATTGTATAGCGTGGAAATTCATCTCTCCAGAAGCTGCACAAGCACCACTGTGAACACAAAATAAAAACTCACAGGGTCTCCTCCTAAGATGACTCGAAGGTGAAATCAATCTTCTGTTTGTTTTTTTTATCAAACAATTGACTCTTCCCCCCCCCCCCCCCCGTCGCGCGAGTTATCAGTGTGACTTAGCATTCCCGACAGGAAATAGGCCAAAGCCACGTTTTCAAGAAAGCAAATGCAAGCAAGTCTGATGATGATTATTATTGTGTAGCAGAACTACTCCCAGAATACTCCCATTTTTCATTGAGTGGCATAGCAGCTGCACGTGTCATATATTTATGAGTGTGGTTATGGTCGCAGACGTCTACAATCTTTTCTGATAATCGTATATAACGTTGCTCTAACCAATAGGAAGAGTAGATGAATATGTAAAGCAGTTTTTTTCTATCACGTCTTTCCCCCTCCTCTTCCCCCCTGCCTGAACAGGCTGGCAGGTATGTGCAAAGAGAAAAAAAGCTATATTCTTGAAGATATAAGGCAAATTCACGCGTGCAACTGGTATCGCATGGTCACATGATCATTTGCTGCTCGGGACCAAAAAGCGACTCTTCTCAACCGACGTTTCACACTATCATGTGACTCATGCCAGTATAACCGAACCATAATGTCTGCTCATACTGCCGTTGTCCTGTAAGAGAAGGCTGATATCTTGTTCCTGCACATTCAACTGGTTCACAGATGTGAGACTGCAGTCGTACGACTGAAAATTCAAACAGCGAACGACTGAGCCAAGGCAGTGGCTTCGGAACCAAAGCGGCTATTTGTGTTTTTGGCGACTTATTTGGTCACACGACCATAGCTAGAATAATTACAAACCTTGTCTAGGTGACAACCAATCAGACAAAGGAGAGTTTCGATTCACCTACAGGTGAGCCATATCAGTACCCTAGTGAAGACAAATTTAGGCCAATCAAGGTCAATTAGGCCGATTCTAAAAACATGTGCCGGAATTTAATACGGCTCAAACCATTGCAAGCCAACCATCCTATTAGTACAGCTGCTACATGTTCCAATGCATTGTAACTACACGTTACCGTCCACAAGGATCCTGTTTGCGGGTCTCCTGATGCGTTTCTGAATGATTCGGCTCAGGGGGAAGGCGGTCAGGTTCCCGTTGGTACACCTTTCGGCCTTCGCGTTGCACATGTAGCCGTTTGGACAACAGTGGACCTTGTCGTCGCAGCAGACCGCATGGTGGTAGCGGCAGCAACCATACGAGCCGCTACGTAGCTGGCAGCAGGTCTGGTTGTCGTCGCACTTGTTGCCGTCCGGGCATTTTTCGTTGGGTACTGTCGGTGAAAAAGATGACCCGAAACAGGAAAAGTGCATTACCCCAATGAATCTTTGCATATTGTGAATAGATCTTCGTTACTGTTCATGTTTGATGAGTACTCGCAATAAGATAATAAGTGAGGTTTTATGTCCCTTTTTCGTATGTACTTAAAATGTTTCCACGTCAAACATTACGTTTACCCGAGTCATCAACATGTATGGGTAATGCTAATCTTGCCCCCTTTATATGATGTTTATGTTTCAGATGTTAGGCATTCAACAGATAGATGTTTGTCATCATTGCTTTATTGTTATTTCCTTCTCAGTCTCTTTCTTGGGTGTGTACGCTTAAAACCTGTGAAGTGTGAGTGCCAACGTTTTAGTTTGATCTATTAGTATTTCTGCGCGACATTTCTTTTGTATTAATCTGTGTTTATTTTTATGTATTACCCGCCCTGTCACAGACTTGATATGAGAGGCTGGTAGTACTTTTGAAGTAAATGAAGAAATAAATATAAATAAATAAATATAATTATGAAAATGCCATACTAATGAGTTCTGGCAAGTTTGACTGACCATTGTTCTTTACCGTACACTTGAATCCACTTACACAGGCCTAGAGCCTGTCACCTCTGAAAACATGTGGTTGCCGAGACTGGGACTCCATATCTCGACCTTCTAGTCAAGGAAATTCGAGAAAGGACAAAAAGAAAGGAAAATGACACAAATGGGGTGATGCATGAATTGACCTTTCGTTACTTCCAGGAAGTGCAGAGAGTCGTGAAATTAAACAGACTAACCATGGGCGTGACAGGCTAGAGCACACTATCGCTCGGGCCAACCTCTCTGCATTTCTGTAAATACAGTCGGCTCTCGCTAATTTAAACTCAAAAGGCCCTCTGAATTTTGTTTGAATTATGAAAACGTTTGAATTATTATAAGTCCTCAACAGATGACTCTGGGTGAGGTGACGCCACACATTATAATTAGGCATTGATTTTATGACATTTAAAATTGTTTTATGTATTTTTGAACCTTAGTTGCACACAATGAACCGAACTCTGAGGTGCAAGGTCCACAAGCTTAATGGCCATTTACTGCTGATCAGATTTTATTGCAATAGCACTTATATGGACACTCCCAGCTGGATTTCGTTCCCGGCATCAGCGTCGATGTCATGCACTGTATATGTATATGTATCTATATATATAAAAATAAAGAAAGGAAAAGATCTCAGAAAACAGACTATGGCGCGCGGAATCGAACGTGGGACCTCCGAGTCGTGAATGCGAGGCGTTAGCTACTAAGCCACTCAGAGGTACCTGCTTCAACGTTCAAATGGCAAAGCTATGAAATATCTACCCCTTACCGCTGTTGGCAGGCCTCTCAGGGAAAGGGGGGAACTATCGTGTTTTCAGCATTATCAGCAAGATGGCGCAGTGAGCATGTGGTGGCTAAAGCCCCTACACTTCGTAATGTAGCGACACTTTTCTCCTCCGCTCTCGTTCCTCCTCTGTCTCTTCTCTTTCGCACTCTCTTTTCAAACATGGCGTCACCTACGTTGCTCTTGCGTAGCAGACGACCTTTCAAAAAGTGAATGGCGCGTGCCAGGCAGAGTGCTGTAAGCATTCAAACTAGCCGTCTCGCTCTTAGTATTAAGGCGAAAGCTTTAAAGAGTTCATGTCGCATAAAACCCCCCGCGGGCGTTGGCCCCGTTGATTGTGAGCGAAAAATCATCTGTGAGTCTGTGAAGGAAAAATCAAGTTATCAAGATAGCCGCAAAAGGCCGCTACTTCTCCACGCATGCGCGCGCGATCACTGAAAAGGTTGCACATTAAAAAAAAAAAAAAAAAAATGTGCTCAACCTCACAAGGCGTGGTAGTTTCTTTGCCCCGTCACCCCTCCCTGCTTAGCTTTCAGAGCGTTCGTCTAGAAGAAAGAAGAGATAATGCAATTGCAGCATGTGACAAACCTTTGTAACTCCACTCCCACTGGATGGAATCTTACAATTATTGCGGTGTTTAATTTCTGAGGCAATAAGCTCTGCTAGTGAAATCATTCCACGGTTACTCGAAAAGTGTTTGAGGGCCCTTTTAACATATTTTGTTCGACAGGTGTCACGACGAAACCAAGCCCATTCGGCAATAATAGCACGTACTGGTCCAATCTACTGTGTGTGTGTTTTTGTGTGCATGCGTGTGTATGTAACAAAACATATGAATGAGTATGCACTTACGGGTTGAGGGGTGCACTAGGGGCTGGATTTCGCTATAGCGTTCAACTCTTAGAGACAAAGCTTAAGTGTTGATGATGAGTGGTATTTAATAGCGCAAGAGCCAATAGATGGAGAAGAGCACCATTTCAATAGACTAGAGGTACATACAACGACACGATAGGTGGCTGTAAGGGGGCCTTAAAATTCCTCGCGCTAACACGGGTAAAAACATAGAAGTAATAAAATCATGACAGTGGCGGGAGTTATGAGCAGTGAAAGTGGATGGCAAAATGTCATGATAATAAAACCATGACCGAAATGTAGTCATCGCAGCCACGATCATGGTACAGAAGTCGTGCTACGGTTCACCTCGAAATATGGGGTGAAAGCTATGAACATTTTTTAAGAACGTGAAAAGCAATTGCAGTTTAAGAAGTATATCCCTACCAATGAACATTACAGGGTGTAGTGGGAGCTGCTGTCGCTAGGGCAGTAAAAAGTGCTTTTTTCTTAAAGCATTCAACTCATTGCACTGGACGAGAATGTAGAGAACCCTAAGTAGTTCTCAACATCTCTCACATAATGGTAGATTACCGGTGGAAAAAAAAATATGAATGTGCAGAGTGCGTATGTCCTGCTCTGAGCCTCGTAAGTGTTACTTCTGTGTGTCATGATTTTGATGGTGGCGGCCAATTACCTAGTTGCGGCTTGATTGCATGGAGTTTATTGTCTGTGTCTATCCCACGTGCTCTGCCAATACCCCCTGAGCTTTCGTTTTAAGGAGGTTTCAAGTCAAGTGCAGGGATTGGTATTGATGCATTGGAAGTAGTGTCGTTGGCAGAAGCAGCCAACTTGTCGGCCAAAATGTTCCCTTGTATCTCACAGTGCTCAAGCACTTAGCAGACAACAAGATGCTGTTTTGATGTGTAAAGTGTGCACAGAAGTGAGTAAAGTGACACCAACACAAGGTTCTTCTGTTTTTTAGGAGTTTCCAGGGCTTTAACCACACTTAGGGAATCTGTGTGTATTACCACCTTTTGTGATTTTACCTGTTTGATGTGTTTTACGCCCACCTGTATTGCATAAGCTTCTCCTGTGAAAATGCTTGCATCAGGATGAAGAACGCCGGCCTCGGAAAAGGATTGGCCTATCGCTGCATATGACAAAGAAGTGTTCGACTTTGAGGCATCGGTAAAGAACTCAGGGCATGTGTATTGATGGTGTAGTTCTAGGAAGTGTGTATGTATGTGTGCAAATGGTGCGTGCTTTGTGACTTCAACAAAAGAGACATCACAGTAGATAAGCTGCCACTGCAACGGTGGCAGATGTGCTGCAGGAGCCATCAAACTGCGTTCGAGAAGAGGCACACCTGTTTCTTCGGCCAGGCTCCATACACGGAGCGAGTAGGGCTGCCTCAACGAAGGACGGTTCTTGAACAAGCTACAACAAGACAAATCATTAATTGTGGAATGGGAGCGGTGTTTCTTGTCTGCCTTCACTTTCAAAAAGTACAAAAAAGACAGGTAACATCTGTGTAGGTCGAGCGACTATTCATTCAAATCCAGAAACGGGCTCTCCACAGGGTTAGTTCAAAAAGCACCCGTACAGAGGCGAATGCCTAGATGGTGGACAGGGTCGAGAATCTTCAAGGTTGATGGTGTCGCCGACCGATAGGTTGTAGCATCGTAATCTAGGACGAGATTTGTAATTCTATGGACGGGGCAATTAGGCACCGGCAGAACTTGGCACTTGCTCAAGTTCCTACTTGATCCGGAAAATAACCAGAAAAACAACAGCAATGCCATTATTATGTTAATACACAGCTAAGATGGCACAGAAGAGGAATTTCTGAAAGAATTGGAAAAGAAATACATCACACAGGCAGCCCCTTGCAAGCATTCTAGCTACAAGGGTAATGCAAACCCGAAAATCGACGAGGAAATTACAGAGGCAGAATTACGTGCGGCCCTACAAAAATTAAACACCAAATCAGCGCAAGGACCTGACTGTATAAGTAACAAAACTCTTAGAAACCTAGATGATGAATCAATTTCCAAACTAATAGAATACATGAGTGAGTGCTGGATAAAAGCAGAAGTACCAGCTGAGTGGAAGAAAGCGACGATAACGCTCATTCCAAAGCCTGGTAGGAAGCTTGTCATCGACAACCTCAGACCGATTTCTCTAACATCCTGCGTCGGAAAATTACTAGAACATGTAATTTTAAACAGAGTCGACAACTTATTAGAAGACAATAACATCTGTTCAGTTACTACGATAGGGTTTCGCAAAAACCTATCGATACAAGATGCGATGCTTCAACTCAAGCATCATATAATCGACTATAAAACGCGCTCTACAAGGGCCATCTTGGGTCTTGACCTTAAAAAGGCTTTCAATAATGCTAACCATACAGCCATATTGAAAAGCATCGAATCAATAGGACTAGGGCAGCGGATGTATAACTACGTTGAGAGCTTCCTGTCAGACAGGAAAGCAGTCATCTCCGTTGGAGGACTCAAATTGCCTGAGATCGACATCGGCGACACAGGCACGCCCCAAGGCTATGGCCTATCTCCGATACTCTTCAATCTCATCTTCATAAGGCTTTTCAGAAAACTAAATGAAATTGAATGTCTACACCATTCAATCTACGCGGATGATATTACTATCTGGATTTGTGATGGGAGCGGCAGCTCTATAAAAAAAACGACTGCAGACCGCAATAAACACAGTAGAGGAACCCCTGATAGAAACAAATCTCACGTGCTCTACAGACGAGTCGGAGCTTCTTCTGTACTG